TTGAGACAGCTCTGGGTCCTACACAGACTTAAACCAAATGTAATTAGGTCATGCTGTTTATTGTTCTCAGACAATATAGTTTTAAAAAATAAATATAGGTGACTCATAAACGCGCATGGAATAGTGCGTATAACCCAAGTGAGTATTGGCTTAAAACAATTTCTGATTAATAGTTTTCTTGGTCCATGTACAAGGAGTTGATGGGATCAGATCAGTTTCCAGTGGACAGGTGTTAATGCCATAACAAATAATCACAGCTAACTTTAATTTGCAATGGCACTTTTTCACCAGTCTTGGTAGAAAAGCCAAGTACTGAAAGAGTACAGAGAATACTATTCTGTGATACCTTCTCAGCCATTCCCAGAGGGAGGGAGTTAGGACACGTCCACACCAGAAACTTTTAGCCAGGTAGTAATATTGCTTAGGGTTGTGATATTTTACAGCATTTTTATAATGGCAAAAACCCTAGTGTAGTTATTTGGGGAAATTGGTATGAACTATACCAACAAAACTACAGTTATTGCTGGTAGAAGCTGCGTCTACCCTAGGAGGGTTTGCTGGTAGAGCTCCACCAGCCACTCTTTTCTAGTGTAGACTAGACCTCATTCATCTGTAAAATGGGGTGTCACGGGGGGTCTCTCATCACTAGGGCACCTCCTACTGGATGCTCTGGGGATTAGCTCTTTTCAGTTTTGATGCCCCCTTCTGCCACTCATTGCATGCCCTGATGGCTCTCTTTCTTACTTTCTGGATGCTCTCTTCCATGGCTTGGCCCTCCAGCCAGGTCACTAAGTGGTTTTCCCCCTTCCAGGGTATCAAAGTCTTTGCCTACAAACTGTCTTAGGCAGTCTTCCCATTCACTGCTCCAACTGTGCCATTTCCCCAGTGGCTGGTAGGGAACCCAGGCCCACCCTCTACTCCAGGTCCCAGCACAGGGACCCGTTAATCAGTAGCTAAGATCTGTATCGTCTTAAACTTTGCTGTCATTTCACTTAGCCTTTTCCTACACCCTGTCCTTTCCTCCTTCTCTCTCTAATGTTTAGAGAGTGGCTGCAGGCTCCCTCACTGCAGCCGTCTTTTGCTGGCAGCTTCCTGACTTTCTATTAGCCCCCACCTGTTCCTTCTCAGTTGGCTCCATCATGGTTTGTTTAATTCCCCTCAGCTGTGACCTAGATGGTTAATTGGCCCCTTTCCAGCCTCATTAACCCCTTCTAGGCTAGTGTGTGGGGGGTAATAGCACTTCCCTACCTCACTGGGGTGTTGTGAGGATAAATGCATTAAAGAATTATGAGGCACTCAGATATTATGGTAACTGGGCCATATAAGTACCAGAGCTTCCAGAACAGGTTTGAGACATGGTATTGTGGTAATGTGGGGGAAGCTTTCAGAGCCAGTGCCTATTGTGCAGATAAAAGTCTTCAGTCTCCAAGGGTACCAGCCCTGCACCTTTTATCAGCACTAAATTCATTTTTAAAAAATTTAAAAGTGGCATTTTTCTGTTGAGGCATCAATTCATTTTTAAAAAATTTAAAAGTGGCATTTTTCTGTTGAGGCATCAATGCCAATCAAAGGAATGAAATACAGAATATTTATTATTATGGCTTCAACAGTGTTCTAGCTACTATAATCAAGAAAATGTTAGTGAAATACACTGTGTAGCAGTAAATGATGCTAGAGCTAGTTCCATTGTAAAAACTCTATTTTTGGTTGCAATTTTCCCTGTGGTGGGGAAAACAGCACAGCGGCCCAACACTGTAGCATTTAATTTCAGAAAGGGGAACTATACAAAAATGAGGAAGTTAGTTAAACAGAAATTAAAAGGTACTGTGCCAAAAGTGAAACCCCTGCAAGCGTCATGGAAACTTTTTAAAGACACCGTAATAGAGGCTCAGATTAAATGTATACCCCAAATTAAAAAACATAGTAAGAGAACCAAAAAAGTGCCACTGTGGCTAAACAACAAAGTAAAAGAAGCACTGAGAGGCAAAAAGGCATCCTTTAAAATGTGAAAGTTCAATCCTAGTGAGGAAAATAGAAGGGAGCATAAACTCTGGCAAACGAAATGTAAAAATACAATTAGGAAGGCCAAAAGAATAATTTGAAGAACAGCTAGCCAAAGATTCAAAAAGTAATAGTAAAAATATTTTTAAGTACTTCAGAAACAGGAAGTCTGCTATACAACCAGTGGGGCCATTGGACGATTGAAATGCTAAAGGAACACTCAAGGACGATAAGGCCATTGCGGAGAAACTAAATGAATTCTTTGCATTGGTCTTCATGGTTGAGGATGTGAGGGAGATTTCCAAACCTCAGCCATTCTTTTTAGGTGACAAATCTGAGGAACTGTCGCAGATTGAGGTGTCATTAGAGGAGGTTTTGGAACAAATTGATAAACTAAACAGTAATAAGTCACCAGGACCACATGGTATTCATCCAAGAGTTCTGAAGGAACTCAGTTATGAAATTGCAGAACTACTAACTGTAGTCTGTAATCTATCATTTAAATCAGCTTCTGTACCAAATGACTGGAGGATAGCTAATGTGCCAATTTTTAAAAAGGGCTCCCGAGGTGATCCCAGCAATTACAGGCCAGTAAACCTGACTTCAGTACAGGCAAACTGGTTGAAACTATAGTAAAGAACAAAGTTGTCAGACACATAGATGAACATAATTTCTTGGGAAAGAGTCAACATGTTTTTTGGAAAGGGAAATCATGGCTCACCAATCTATTAGAATTCTTTGAGGGGGTCAACAAGCATGTGGACAAGGGCGATCCAGTGGATATAGTATACTTAGATTTTCAGAAAGCCTTTGACAAGGTCCCTCACCAAAGGTTCTTAAGCAAAATAAGCTGTCATGGATTGGTAACTGATTAAAAGATAGGAAATAAAGGGTAAGAATAAATGGTCAGTTTTCAGAATGGAGAGAGATAAATAATGGTGTCCGCCAGGGGTCAGTACCGGGCCTAGTCCTATTCAACATATTCATAAATGATCTGGAAAAAGGGGTAAACAGTCAAGTGGCAAAATTTGCAGATGATACAAAACTACTCAAGATAGTTAAGTCCCAGGCAGACTGCAAAGAGCTACAAAAGGATCTCTCAAAACTGGGTGACTGGGCAACAAAATGGCAGATGAAATTCAATGCTGGTAAATACAAAGTAATGCACATTGGAAAACAACAATCTCAACTATACATATAAAATGATGGGGTCTAAATTAGCTGTTACCACTGAAGAAAGAGATCTTGGAGTCATTGTGGATAGTTCTCTGAAAACGTCCACTCAATGTGCAGCGGCAGTCAAAAAAGCAAACAGAATGTTGGGAATCATTAAGAAAGGGATAGCTAATAAGACAGAAAATATATCGCCTCTATATAAATTCATGGTATGCCCACATCTTGACTATTGTGTGGAGATGTGGTTGCCCCATCTCAAAAAAGATATATTGGAATTGGAAAAGGTTCAGAAAAGGGCAACAAAAATGATTAGGAGTATGGAACGGCAGCCATATGAGGAGAGATTAATAAGACTGGGACTTTTCAGCTTGTAAAGGAGACGACTTGGGGGGATCTGATAGAGGTCTATAAAATCATGACTGGTGTGGAGAAAGTAAATAAGGAAGTGTTATTTATTCCTTCTCCTAACACAAGAACTAGGGGGTCACCAAATGAAATTAATATGCAGCAGGTTTAAAACAAACAAAAGGGAGTATTTTTTCACACAATACACAGTCAACCTGTGGAACTCCTTCCCGGAGGATGTTGTGAAAGCCAAGACTATAACATGGTTCAAAAAAGAACTAGATACGTTTATGGATGATAGGTCTATCAATGGCTATTAGCCAGGATGGACAGGGATGGTGTCCTTAGCCTGTTTTTGTGAGGTGATGGTCTGTCCAAGACAGCAGCTGCATTGTGATGACTTTTATGTTGACCTGTAGGCCCAAGATCAGGTCCAGGGCAGGACTAGCTGTGTGGGATTGGATATTTGTAATTATTCCAAATCCAAGTATTAACCTCAGAAAATTCAGAGTAAAGGTTAACCTTACAAGAAATCAAAACTTGTTTAAGTTTGGAAATGCATGGTGAAGGTACCCAAACAACCTTAACACTGTCCTGTAGCGATGCCATGCAATAAACATACAATTATAGTTAATGCATATCACCTTTTGTGGTCTTAGGTAAAATGAAACTGATTTTTAAGGGCACAGCAGATTGTTTCATACAGTTTTTATCCAATGATGTCACTATAGTTCAGGATAACAAACTTGTCACAGCAATCAAATGAATGAGCTAGCTGAAACAGTTGAGCTAGATTGTTCCTGGCAGTGTTTATGGTGGAGGACAAATAATATTTCTTGGTCTCGGCCCACAGCTTCACAAAGTTTCGAGTTATGAAGCAAAACTCTTCTGGGTTCATTCAGAGCCTGGACTATCATCTTTCTTTCACTCTAGCGCAATTCCTGTTCGCAGACTGTAACCCATATAGAGGCCGCAATTTTCAAAAGTGGCCTCAGGTTTTGGATGCCTTGCATGAGACACCGCACAATGGATTTTCAGAGCTCCCTGCAGCTTCTGTTGTTTACGACGGGAACTGCAGTTGCTCAGCACTTCTGAAAATCACATGACTCAAACTGGGCATCCAAAATGGAGAGGCATTTGTGACCGGGAAGTCTTAACGAGACCTCAGCGATTAACAGGAACAGTAAGTCATAATCGTAAAATAATAGCCTCTAAGTACAGAAGATCTACATTTGTTTCAGCGTGCTCATTGATTACATGGCTTCACTTCAGGGCCCAGTTAAGATTGTTTGGAAGCCTTAACTGTGGTAACATAGTTATAACCGATTGTTCCCTTCCCACCTCAGCCCCTGGATAAGCCAACAGAGAGTTCATAACTAAAGTTGCAATCCTGTTACAGAGGAAAGTTTGGGAACGAATTGCACAGTTCCCTGTGAGTCCAAGTGATTTTTCTCTATTTTTACCTCCTGCAGTTCACCCTGATCTTTCCTGAAAGATGTATGAAACACAGGCAGCTCTGGTTACTCTCCTCCCCCTCCTCCTTTTCAAACTGTTTCAAGTGGTAGGTAAGTGAGAAAGTTCACTGAGTAAATGCAATTCACTAACTACTCCTCACAACTTAGAGTCTCATCCAGCTGCCAGTGAAGTCAACGGAAAGACTCTTTCCCTGATTTCAGTGGGGGATTGCATCTGGACCCTTCTATCCAATTTTTCAAGATTGCTCAGCATGGAATAGCTCTCATTGTTCTCCATGGGAGCTGCTGGGTCCTGAGCACTTTTTGAAATCTGGCCATTACTGCTGTTACTGAGCAGTTGGCTGTGGAACAGAGGCCGGGATATGATGTATGTCTGCAGGACTCCCCTCAGGGCTGCAGTCACCAGTGCAGCAGCTGGCTCCCCATCTAGTAGCTCTTAGGTGAAACTCTGCATCCCTGTGCTTTGGTGTCTGTCTGCCCCTTGTTCAGAGCTGCTGGTTCTGCTGCTGCTGGGGCAGCTGTTCCTTCTTCCTTCTCCTTCCAAACTTCTTGCCCTTGGTTTTTCATACCGCCTCTCCAAGAGTTCACTGACTCAGACTCTCCCCGGTGTAGGGTAACCAGATTTCCCAATTTTATAGGGACTTTGTCTTATATAGGCACCTACCTATCTGCTCCAATTTTTCACACTTGCTATCTGGTCACCCTACCCTGTTGGTCTACAGGCAATTCGGTGTCCTTGTTTTGGATGGCACTCCGCCCCAGCGAATTAGGTTTGGTTCTCCTGAGGCCAAGTCTATACAATGGATTTCAGAGTAATGGAGGGAAAGAGAGGAGGGGCTTCATCCAGTCCCACTCTTGCAAACCTAGAGGGATATTTTGAAATTGTAACATGTTAGAGCAAGAGGTTACTGTAATTTACATGTATCAAATTAGAGTAAGGGATTTCTGTAGTTTACACATTTCTCTGACTTCTCAGCATGTAAATTACTCCAATTTGCTCTCCTAGTCCGAGTAGCTTTAAGAAAAGCCTAGGTTAATGTGTCACCAGCACGCCTCCAACTTGTCTCCTAAGAGGTTAGAGAGAGTTTAGAACAAGTATAATTCAGCATAATGTACACATTCCTCCAGTCCCCTCTGTGTGTGTTATGCTAATTTAAATAATTTCTTGGCTTTGTCAGGCCACCTAAAATAGTGGTTGAACTAGCAACATCGCTCAGGTGTGTGTGAATTCGCTCAGGGCTGTAAAAAAAGAGAGAAAAAATTGTGCCCTGTGCGATGTGGTTAGATAGAACTAAGCCCCACTGTGGATGCATTCTTCCCATTAACCTAGCTACAACCTCTCAGAGATGAATTTACTACAGACACAGCAAACCCCTTCCATTGCTGTAACAAGGGTGTTAAGCAGCGTGGCTGTAGTGGTGCAGTTGTGTCTGTGCAGACATATCCATAGCCTGATACTCACTTAGGGCTTGTCTACAAGGCGAGGGAGAAAAAGACAGCAGTAGCTAGTGCACACTGTGCACTGAGGGCCTTTGTGCGCAACAGCTTAATGCAGTTTGAAAATGCATTAAATTAAACCACCCCAGAGCACTTTTAGGGTGCCATCAGAGTGTCCACATGGGCAGTTAGTGAGGAGAAGCTAGTGTGCTTTAAATTCACACCCTCATTTACTACACACTAACTTGCACATGTAGTCAATCCCTATTACTCATCTCTGAGTTTGGCCCCATGTCTCTCTCCTATTTCTGAGTTTGACTGAACTTACATTGCAGTCACATCATGTTTCCACTTCCTGAATATACTGTATTCTTTCTTATGTTTGTGCAGTGCAAAATCTTTTAAAAACTAAATTTAGGTATCTAATTGGACTTCCTTGATACATAACATGATATAAAACCTGGAATAAGTCAGAATCCGGTATTTAATTTACATAAGCATATCATGAAATCTAGCAGGTCTTTTTACAGCCCTTCCACTTCTAGTGGTAATCAAAACAAAATAATACCTTTAAAATAGGGAACTTGAGACCTAGCTGCAAGATCTGACTAAAAAGGATGTCATTCCATTTAGTAATCTACCTGCGCTACCATTTAAACACTTATATAATCCAGTAAGTTAACTAGCCCAGCGTGTTTTTCTAATTTCATAACAGCTAAAGAAATATTGATAAATAAAAACATTTGGGTTTCAGTGCAGTTATTATATTCTCCATTACATATTATTAAAACTTACACCTTGTTATTGTCCTCATACTCCCTGCTTTAAGATAAACAGCTAAAGATAAAGAGGGCAGAATTTCATAGGGTAATGTTCCTTTGTTCTTTTTTTCAGGTGATGTAACTGTTAATTGTACGGTTGAAGTTCAAGTTCCAAGAAATTACCAATATCAGGGCAAACCTGGGGACTCCCTGAGTATAGAGTGTCCAGTAAAGTACTGCACAGAAAAGCCAGCCATAAAGTGGTGCTTGATGCAGGGGATGAAGTGCCTACTTCTGAAAGATGGGCCAACAAGACGCTCAGTGTGGAGAGAGGGGAATGTGGCTGTTCTGAACTTTATGTCGATTCAACAGAGTAACAGTGGATTGTATCGTTGCCGAGCTGTTGTGGGCAGCCTGAGCCATGAAAGCCATGCAATAAGGGTTATTGTTAGAGGTGAGTTTGGTACCAGGATCACGTATGCTCCTGCATATTAAATACAGATCTGCTTTTGGATGCTGTTTAATGCATCCCAGGGGGATAAAAATGGTGATGGATGTTCTACTGAAGTATGAAATCTGCACTCATCACTATCCCAGCACCTTACAAATGCACATCAGTCCCGACCTGAGAGAGGTTTGGAATTCTTTCATTTCTTTTAATCTGCATTCAGTTCGAGTGGCTAATGCAACTTGCCCTGTCTACGTTAGGGTTTTAAAGCAGGTTTGCTATCACATTTTACAAATGCACCTTTTTATCTAGCATGGATAAACCTGGATTGGGTCAGGTTCCCTTCAAAACCTGTCAGTGTTATTTTAGCTCCGTGTCCCTGCCTCGGGGGTTGACTATGCTGCCTTTTGAAGGGTCCCAGATGCTACTGGGTTGGAGATTGGGAGACCAGGCCTGAAAATTAAACCCAGATCTTTCTCATGACAGCCCGAGCATTAGTCATAGGGACAGCGCTATTTCATTAAAAACAGCAGTGTAGACATGCCTGCTCAGGCTCTGAAGCCCGGGAAGGGGATTTGGCTTCAGAGCCTGAACTGCAATGTATACACAGTTGTTTTTAGCACAGTAGTGTGAGCCTGAGTCTGTAGACCCAAGCTCTGAGACTTGCTGCCGCAGGTTTTAAAACAAAGTATAGACGCACCCTGTCGCACCAGGCACCAGAACCGAGAATAGGAATTCTTGCACCTCATTCAGGACACAAGATGTACTATGCTTTGTAGATGAAACTCAGTTGTGTAGTGAAGGAGGCAGGGGACTGCAGAGAGAAAGAATGGTCTGGTGGTTAATGCAGCTGAATGCTGCCCTGGAGAAATGGATTCTATCCCTGCATCTGCCAAAGTTCCTGTACAATGCTAGTCAAGTCACTTAAACCACACTTTTCATGGGTGGTCACTAATTGTGTGTTCCTCATTTTTGGGTGCCCAGCTTGAGACCCTGATTTGCAGAAGTGTTGCTGAGTGCCCACAGCCACAACTGAAGTCAATGGGTTTTCAGTGAACAAAGTCCTATATGATGCTAAGAACTCTGAAATCAGGTCCTAAGCATCTCAAATTGGGCACCCAAAATAGTGTATACTTTTCACCTTAATCTCTCTGTGCTTCAGATGTCTCATCTGTAAAATGTGAAAATAAATTAATGAGTGTTTGTGAAGCACTCCAATACTACAGTGATGAGCACCTTAGAAAAGCCCATCAGGAAATGACTAATTCTGTGTTCAGAGCAGGGTCTGAATAGTGAGCAGTAAATAAGTTGTGTGGATACACATTGAACAATGAGGATAAAACAAAATATAGAATAGGTGATCATTCAGTAAGTATTGTCCATCCTGTGCACTGAATGAGGCAGGGGCCCTGCGGCCAGATTCTTCCCTGTGTATTTTATCTGTCCTGTACTTGTCTGCCTTTCTTCTCTGTTCTTTTTACCTTCTCATCTCTCTCTCTCTTTCCCCTCCCTCTTCCACCTTTTTGTCGTCCCCCCCCATTTGTTTTCTTATTCCCCCTCTCAGTTCCTCCGGGCAGCAACAGAAGACTACAGACTGCTTCAAAGAGGGGCATCCATTAATGGCTTCATGAGTCTAGAGAGACACGTTCTTGTAGCTTAAGCTGAGTGCCAGATTTTGTGGCCTTGTCCCTGTGAGCTGCTCCCATGGCCACCTGCATTAGGGGCCACTGTAGGAGAAAGGAGAGGAAGTGGGTGATTTCCAAGGAGCCACCTCCTGCGTTACTCACAACCACAATTGCACAATGGGGAAGAGAAAATTTGATCTCATGGAACTTGTTCCACCACCCACTGGTGTGAATTCCTCACAAACCACTAAGCCTTGAAAACATTACAGGTGCTGAAACTTCTTAAAATTACAAGAAAGAAAATTAAAATAAACAAGAAAGGCAGTGCCTGGAAGAAAGAAAGTATTATCCCCATTTTACAGATGGGGCATTGAGGCAGAGATATTGATTGCCCAAGACCACACAGGAAGTCTGTAGCAGAGTCACAAATTAAATTCAGATCTTCTGAGTTCCAGTCCAGTGCCTTAATTGCAAGACTACCCATTTCTGTGGGATGGGACATGGGGAATTCACCACAAGTAAAAACAAATTAACAGGTGGCTGTCAGTCTTCTCTTCTCCCATCCTACATGTCACCCTCCTCTCCTCTCAGGAACACGGCCATTTCCTATGTTGTTGTCTTTCTAAATGTGTCTACTCTGGGGAGTGTTCAGCTGAGAAGGATAGGCACAAGAGCTGCCATACACCTTTCCCTTTCCTTCCTGGTAGGTAAAGGCATAATGCCAACTGTTCCTGAACTACTGTCGCACAGGACAGGACGCGTGGAAGACCAGGATAAACTGATTTACCAATAAGTCACGCTCCGTTATTTTTTTATTTTTCAGAAACCACTGACTTCATTCCCATGACTCGTGAGCCCCAGGTCCTGCCAGGCAACCTGGCTGGTAAGTGCCTCACCAGGTCCTGCAGCATCCCCTTGTGCTGGGCCACCGAGCATGGGATGCCCCCCATGGGCCTTATGCCCCCCATGCGGACCCTGGAGCTCCCACCCCAGCCTTGTGGTCTTCCTGCCTCCCCTGTCCTTTGGGGCTGGTATCCAGAGCCCTCTCCAGCCCCCTCCCTCCTTCCCCAGCTGGCCTCTTTCCCTCCTCAGGCTGCCTCTAGTCACCTGCTTCTGCCACATCCCAGCCTCTCCACACCTCCCCAGGGCTGCTGTCTCGAGTCTCTTTGGTCCCCCCACTACCCGGAGCCTCCTTTCTGCCCCTCTGCTATCCCAGTCCCCAAAGGTGAATAGTACCACTAGCTGGATCATAGTCCAATAGATTCATCTCCTGGCTCTGAGCTCAAAAGTACTCATATACTCATACCCTCCTTTGCTGCCCAGATCCCAGTCCATACCCATTCCTCTTCTCCCCCCCTTCCCCGACCTCCCATCTCTGCTACTTGGCTCAGTTGGGGGCACGGAGGAACCTTTGGGGATGGGGTGAGTGGCAATTCAAGGCAACTTGGTCCAGCTCTGTGCATCCAGTTTTCAGTTTATGGAAATATGGTCACCCTACGCACGGAGGAGCAGAGGGATTGTGTAAGTGCAGTTGCTCCCTGGGTTGCACTGGGCCCAGTGAAGGCAGGAAGAGCTGGAGGAGGACACTAGAGGTATCAAAACCCACTCTGTAATTTTACATATTGTCTCAGATGTTTCCACTAAATGACGGAATCCACAAAGTAAAATTTTAGTGCTACGTGTGCAGAGAATCATAGAATCATAGACTATCAGGGTTGGAAGGGACCTCAGGAGGTCATCTAGTCCAACCCCCTGCTCAAAGCAGGACCAATTCCCAATTAAATCATCCCAGCCAGAGCTTCTAGTAGAACTGGGTGGGCTGCTGAGACGAAAATAAAAACTGACTGGAACGCTGGCTCAAACCAAACGAAACCAAACCTCTTCTGAAGTTTGAAAAATTCAGTTCTTTATCCCTTTTCAGCTTTGGTTTCCTACGCATTTCCTTGTTCTCGCTGGAAGTAGAAATGATCGTACTGAAGTATTGCCAGAGGGCTTGAGTACTAAACTGCTGGGGTTGGGCTAGGATTTTGTTTGGTTTTTTGTTATATCTATGGCAATCCAAACACACAGAAAGTATTGGAAATCTCAAGAAAAATTCAGTCCTCATAAGATTTCCAGTCCAGTCTTGCCCAGGGGCCAAATTCAGTGGGAATTGTACCTGCTTAAGATGAGGCTTCATTTAATGCATGTAATTCATCTAGATCAAATAAATTGGGGTGTTTATCTGAAATTGTCCAAATGTTGGGGTGTTTATTGGAACTTCTGAACATTTTAGAGGTTTACTTGTCACAAATTCCTTCACAGTGGTGCCACCCTGCAACAGCGTGAAGTAAACTAGTGATATGATCACTTTGATACCAGCTAGAATGAAGGAATGACAGGTTACTGTCTCTTACCATCCTGGTTCTTATGGCAGCTTTGAAATGGCTTTTTTGGATGAGAATTTTCTAACATTTCAACATAACTCTTTATTTAGTCTTTTATGAGAGATTTGCCTTTTGAACTACCACATCATGGTGATCTTTGACTGAGGAGAGTTAGGTGGGACTCCCTTCAGAGCCTAGCAGTGTTATTCCTATTTTGATGCCCCTTAACTCTGGGGTGATCGTGCTACCTCTGAAGCGCTCTCAGATCCTGCTGGCTTTGATCAAGGGAGATCAAGCCTGGAAATTAAAACTCAATCTTTTGGGTGAAAGCCCAGAGCAATGATCTCATGGTCACCAGGCTGGCCATGATAAAATTACTGAGCAGGAGGGAAGGGAGAATACAAATCAGGCTTCATCCCAATAAAGGTCATTTAATGGTGATTATAGCCTGGCACAAAAAGAGGCTATGGGTCTGCGGAGAGATAAATCTTGTCGATCGGTATCTTTGTCCTACGCCTCACACAATTAGCTATTTAAAGCTGTGCACCGATAATACCCCCAAATGGACCTGGGATCTACTTCATGGGGAGGTTTCCATGGAGTACAAGAGCAGAAACATTAATCCGAGGGGAATTCAGAATTTGCTCGTCTGTAATCGCATCCTAAGTGACACTTTTCATTTTTCTTTCCTTCTTGTATCCTCTCCAGATAACGTCGTGGTGTCTTCAGTGACTGGTTACAGGGCTGTGCTGAGTTGCTCTAATATGTCACTAGTGAATCTTATCTCAGCAGTATGGAAGATAAGACTAAGGGATGGAGCTTGCTGTTTATTAGCATACAGGGCTGATTTAAATAAAACTGTCAGAACAAATTGCAGTGAGAGGATGGACTGGGCAGCTCGACCTGATCATGACCCCACCCTTCAGATTCACCCTGTGAGACTCTCTGATGAAGGATATTACATGTGTGAAATTGCAAACATTGATGGAAGTCTCCATCAGAACTACACTCTGAGTGTGTTAGGTAAGAAACACCTTGTGTCACATTCCCACCCAGTGGAGTGCAGCCCAGAACTACAGCATGTAATGGGCAGGGGGCAACTGATGTGTCACTTCCCACAGGCTTGAGTGGAAAAATCAGGCAAAATTCCAGGGTTGGTGGGACCCAGGCAGGGAGGGAAGGAACAGCCTCCTTGCTCTTCCTGCTGCCACCTCAGCTTCATCCCCATCCCAGCCAGACCAGAGGTGGGTGGGACACTCCCACTCTCTGGTGCTTTCTGTACCTGGCCAGGAGTTTCAGTCTCCTCAGTCAGAGACCTGTAGGGATACTCTGGGCTGCCTCTGTGTTTGTGGCCATTCTATTCAGGATGTATATGATCACTCTCCCTTCCATCTTGGACTCTACTCATAGAGATGCAGCCTCGTACATAGTTCCCCACCCCACCCATGGCTATAGACTTGGAGGTCGGACCACAGTAACACCGGGCAATGCCCTGACACCTCTCCATGACTGGGGCTGTCTGTGAGCTATACCAGGGAGCATCAGCCAGAGCTACGTCCCTACATGTGCCCCAGCGTTGCCAACTCTTGCAACTTGACCACAAGTCCCATGGTTTTGCCTTCGGCTGCAAGAGCTCTCATGATGATGTGAAAAGCTCCTGCCCTCACATGATTTTGGAGCTGGTGCCCTTTCTCACTTCCTTTCCACTTCCAGCAGCTACATGTTTCCTGATTCCTCCCTCAATGTTCCCAGCAGCCACCTGCTTTCCTCTTCCCCAGCCCCAGTAGGTAGCTGCTTCCCTTCGTCTCTCCCTCTCTCCAGCTTTCTGAAGCTCCTGCTCACCCGTCCTCATCACTCCTTGGCTCAAATGGGGAAGTGAAGTTTTGTGCAGCCACATTAGAGATTGTCTCACTAATAACAGCACCAATGTCCCTCATGTGGTCCCTCCAGCTTCCAAAGCAGCAGTAGGGGACATTAATGAGTTTTTCACACTAGTGAGAAATGCCACATCTAGAGCTGCACAGACTTTGGCGGCTATGGGAACAGGTACCTGCCATGGCCTGGGAGGCCGAGAGCTAGGGACAAGGACTTGCAGGCACTCAGTGCAAAATGGCATAAAGGTGACTGTGTGGGAACAGCTCTTGCAAGAGTTCCTGCAGCCAAGGGCAAAATCATCTTTGAACACATTCGCAAGAGCCGGCGGTACTGTGTTTGTCTCACACACATTGGAGGTGGGCAGAGGACAGACTAAAATCAGAAGAGAGACTAAAAAACATGATTTAATCTTTTTAAAGAATCTCATGATTTGTATGCTGGTCTCATGATTTGGGATTATGTATGGGAATTTCCAGGGAATTCAGAGACTCACTCTTCTGACATCTCGAAAACACCTATTTGGAGGGAAAAGATCTATAGAAATATTCTGGGGTCACTTCCCTGCTCTGGTACATCTGATTTACTGGGGAGTAACTACATTGATTTCAATGTAGTTACACTGGACAATCAAACCTGCTATACAGCTCTAAAGAAAAAGTGATGTATTTTTTAAAATCCCTTTCTTAGAACTCTACAGAGTTTCCATAAACTTTTTGATAGAGCTTCAACCAAATATTCTGTAATGATAATAAGATCTTCCCTTGGCTTTTGAGTCTTCAGCAGCAGAAACAATTTGCCTACAATTGATTTAACCAAGTATCCAGAGGTCCATAGCATCTATGTGGTTCACCAAATGCATTTTCAAGAAGCGCTCAGCGTTGCTCTAACTCTGCACCCATAGAAGTCAATGGGACTGTCACCACTGATTTCAGTGGAAATCACGTGGGCCAATGCCAAGCACTTTTGAAAATCCCACCCTTGGTGTCCAAGCATTAAAAATTCACAACTACATGAAAATTTTTTAAGGGGGCTTTGGTTATTCTGATACTCTGAGACCGAGTGGACTCAGTATTGCGTTAGTATATTTTGTGTGTATGTTTGCCCTCCTCAAGCTACATTGTTAGTAGCTCACTTGCCAAACTACAAAACAAATGGGAATCAGACTTCATTCTTCACTCCAGTTATTGCATGCCAAGAACTACACTGATGCAACAGCGAGATCTCGATGATGCAAAAGTCATGTGATTTCAGAATTAAGGCTGACAGCAAATTTGCAGAGAAACCAGATGTGTGTAGTTGGGACTGAGGTACAGAATGTTTGAGTGAAGAAGAGTGGAGGTGCAGCCGTGTATGTATAGATGGGATTCTGGTTACTCTGTTTTTTAGTAGCAGCTGGCTAGACCTTGAATATCTGAGGAGGCCAATGAAGATTTATTTGCACTGTATCTTGTCATCTGTTGACAGCAAAAATATATATGTATTATACCATGACATCAGCCACTGCTGACCGCAAAATATGTCTTCACTAGGGCTGTTGATTAATCACAGTTAACTCATGCGATTAACTCAAAAAATTAATTACAATTAAAAAAATTAATCATGATTGATTACTGTTTTAATCACATTGTTAAACAATAGAATCCCAATTGAAATGTGTTAAATATTTTTGATGTTTTTCTACATTTTCAAATATAATGATTTCTATTACAACAAAGTGTACAGTGCTTAATATTATTTTTATTACAAATATTTGCACTGTAAAAATGATAAACAAAAGAGATAGTATTTTGCAGTTCACCTCATACAATTACCGTAGGGCAATCTCTTTATCGCGAAAGTGTAACTTACATATGTAGATTTTTTGTTGTTGTTATATAACTGCACTCAAAAACAAAACAATGTAAAACTTTAGAGCCTAAAGTCCACTCAGCCTTACTTCTTTTTCAGCCAATCGCTAAGACAAACAGGTTTGTTTACATTTATGGGAGATACTGCTGCCTGCTTCTTATTTACAATGTCACCTGAAAGTGAGAACAGGTGTTCGCATGGCACTTTTGTAGCCAGCGTTGCAAGGTATTTACGTGCCAGATATGCTAAACATTCGTATGCCCCTTCATGCTTTGGCCACCATTCCATGCTGATGATACTCGTTAAAAAAATAATGCGTTAATTAAATTTGTGACTGAACTCTTTGGGGGAGAATTGTACATCCCCTGCTCTGTTTTACCCTCATTCTGCCATATATTTCATGTTATAGCAGTCTCAGATGACGACCCAGCACATGTTGTTTGTTTTAAGAACACTTTCACTCCAGATTTGACAAAACACAAAGAAGGTACCAATGTGAGATTTCTAAAGATAGTTACGGCACTCGACCCAAGATTTAAGAATCTGAAGTTCCTTCCAAAATCTGAGCGGGACGAGGTGTGGAGCACGCTTTCAGAAGTCTTAAAAGAACAACACTCCGATGAGGAAACTACAGAACCCAAACCACCAACAAACAAAATCAATCTTCTGCTGGTGTCATCTGACACAGATAATGAAAATGAACATGTGTTGTTGGTCCGCTCTACTTTGGATCATTATCGAGCAGAACCCATCATCAGCTTGGACGCATGACCTCTGGAATGGTGGTTGAAGCATGAAGGGACATATGAATCTTTAGTGCATCTGGCACATATATATTTTGCAAGGCCAACTACAACAGTGACATCAGAACACCTGTTCTCACTTTCAGGTGACATTGTAAACAAGAAGTGGGCAGCATTCTCTCCTGCAAATTGTAACCAAACTTATTTGTCTAAGTGATTGGCTGAAGTAGGACTGAGTGGACTTGTAGGCTCTAAAGCTTTAGGTTGTTTTATTTTTGAATGCAGTTTTTTTTGTACATAATTCTACATTTGTAAGTTCAATTTTCATGATAAAGAGATTGCACTATAGTACTTGTATGAGGAGAATTGAAAAATATTATTTCTTTTTATACAGTTAAATATTTGTAATAAAAAATAAATATAAAGTGAGCACTGTACACTTTGTATTCTATGTTGTAATTGAAATCTATATATTTGAAAATATAGAAAACATCCAAAAATATTGAAGTAAATGGTATTCTATTATTGTTTAATCATGCAATTAATAACAATTAATTGTTTAGTTGCTTGACAGCCCTAGTCTGCACTATATAAAAACCCACTGTATTATCTCTTCTAACTAGAAATCACTCTCATGGCCAACATCCTGAGAGTTTCACTTACCCACTCATTACTCATCTCTCACTTCTTCACCAAACAGTCACTCTTAGCTAAGCTACTACCGCTGTCAACTCACCAATGTACCACTCCACAGTACTGTCTACCAGGACTTACGTTCCTTACTTTTGTGAAATATTATTAAGTACTAATAGCTGCCAGACCTGGGCAAAGGGAACAGCTGCGACCTTATGTTCTCCTGATCTTGAAAAAAAAAGAAATTATTGTTCTTTTGTATTGTTCCTGGTTTGCTTTCTCTTTTCTTTCTCTGGCCCATTTTTTCCCCTTGGAGATTCTTCCATGACTGCACCTTCATGGATCCAGAGAACTGAAATTTGTATGCACATTGCTGATCTGGCCGCAGTATACCTCTAGCTTGCAGTACACCTATAATCTACTAAGATACACATGTTGCTACACAACATGTATCATCACTGGGTTCAGTAAGACAGAGATCTAATAGTGTTTTAATAAAAAGCCTGTTCATTAATGGAAAATAATAGTAGTCACCATTGGAAATGCTGCTACAAGAAGAAAATATGTTGCTGTTCATGGTGTTTTATGTAGCGTACGCATACCTATGGATGGAGATAGGAATTAACAGACAGTGAGCCTGTCCCTGCCTTTAAAGTGACTCCCTTCCTTAAGCCACCTTTCTATGACTTTTGTCAATTAAAATCACCCCAGAAATGTGTCCTTGTCCGCCTAAACTCTCTGTATCATATGTGCACACCCACTTTTCAATTGGTTAATGTAGAGATCAGGTGGATCATCTACCCATTTTATCCTGAATATCCTCTAGTCAGAGGATTTGTGACTTGATTGAGACACCATCCACCACCTGTGGATTTTCTCTCCTACACTGTAACTATTAATATCTTTCTCTATCTTCCTAGAGCACGAGGGATTTTCCTTTCTACTTCACTATCTCCTGACAGGCAGCACCATTTCCTGTGTCATTATTGTGACTATTTTATACTGTACTTTACAACACAGAGGTAAGTCACTTGGAGCTTAGTCAGTGAATCCTGTCAAGCAGAAGACAACACCCTAATACCCATATGACAGGCAAGGGGAGTGGAGGAAAACACTTAGGTGCTTGGTCAAATTGTCTCTTTGTGCAGACGGTGGGGCATAGCTAGGCCCCGCAATGGAAAGCCAGCAGAAACAGGGTATTAGTTAATTTAGTTGTAGACCAAACATTTAAAAAATTATATTAAAATCCTACCAAATATTCCCTTTTCTCTTTGCCTGAATAAGTTTCAGAGCTATGGGACATCTCCCTGACCCCTTTGTTTTGAAGGCAGGAAAGGTAAACCTCTAACCTCCACTGATAAAATACTATTGCTTTAAAGTTATACTACCTGACACATTGCTGAGAATGAATACAAAGTTTTATTCCTGATGGGCCATATTTTCCTTTCACCCTGGCCTTACACCAATGTAATTCTATTGACTTCAATGCAATTACTTCTGAAAGGACAATAACAGTAGTCACTGATATTCCATTTGGCATCCAATGTCATTTAGTTGAGAGTCTGAAACAGGAAGATTTTAGGAGTAAACTGTGACCATTACATACTATTGACATTTCATTAGTATTTCTGTTGGGCAGAGATCAGAGAGCATTAAATTTCATTCCCACATTCTGAAGAAGGTTGGCTTTAGAAAAGAGTGGATAAAAATAAATTTTAAAAATGTAAAAAAAATCTGATTTTGATTTAAATCAGATTATTTAAATTAGGTTTATTTTTAAAAGAAAAATGTATTTATTTCAAATTATGACAACCTATATTTTAGCCTAAATTTACTATAATCTATCAAAATCATTTAAATGAAATTAAAAAAATTAAGCAGTACGTGTTTGCTGATGAAATTTTAAAGAAAGTCAAACCATTGAACTAGTGGAAATCACTGGCTAAGCACCTGGAACTAGACTTTGTTGAAGTGCTAAACCAGCTTTTGACAGCAGTAGCCGCCTCTGCAGGTGCAGAGAGAATATTTTCTTCATTTCAGTTTATTCAACTATTCAGTTCAGTGAGTAATTCACTCAAAGTTGAGAAACCGATTCAAGTTGAAAAAGCAGGGAAGTTTGTTCTACTCTTCCTATTTATGAATAAAAATGAGGTGTGGGGATGAGATCTGCTAGTTCTAAAACCTTGAAGGACATGGTGACCTGAAACAAGCCGTTCAATTCACTAACTACAGATATTTCCTTTGTTTAATAAATCAGTTAGTTTTAAATGTTAAACAAGTTTGATGAACTTACTTCCCCTTATGTAGCCAGCATATTTAAGGTAGTTTTATTTAACTAATAAATAAAACAAGTTTTAAATTATGTTTTTGCGCATTTTTAAATGAATTGCAATTTCCATCAGAATGCAGCTTGACAGTAATCGTGAGTGTAAAACTAATCTAGTAAATAAGAAAATCATCATTCACTATTTTCTAACATAATAAAAATGTAAAAATTAAGAATCTAAAATAACAGTATGCTGAACTATACAATTGCTTATATAAATGTGTGTAGACATAGCTATCTTCCTGGTTAGCAAAAAATAGTACCATATTAAGTATAAAGACCATATTTACTTGCAAATCAACATGTTTTAATGGTTACCACCCAATGACAATCAATCTTTTATTAGGAAAATAACTAAAAAGTAATAATGCAAAAAACAATTAAAATGTATTATTTAAATAAAGGTTATCAGCTTGCTGATTTCAATTGTGATTAAAATCAGTGATTTAAATCACTTTGATTTAAATCACTCAACTCTGCTTTAGATTTTCTGTTTTGGTGGATTTAGATATGTATTTTTTAAACTTTTATTATTCTTTCCATTTCAGTGTTACCCCAGTTCCTGGTGGGGTGATGTAAAATTGCTGGCTTAATCTCTTCCTGTTTGGGTGATGCATCCTTCCCAATCAGATCCCTGACTAAAAAGATAATTGTCCCTGGAAACCCCGGTTCTGCTTCCTACTGGAAGAATTTACAGGGACTAGTTAGGTAGATCGTAAAGATGTGTTGTCCTCTGTGGAATATCCAAGAGTACTGATCTTGGGTCTGGTTCCTATCAAACAGAGAGCGTGCCACACTCAAAGGGGAAGACTGGATCTGAGATTGTATGAACATCCCATCCAGGCAGGTCCTGACTTTTGTAGTTATTTACATGGATGAAGCATATACCATAGCTCCCTCCCAGCCTACTTCTGCCATCTGACTTCTAGTAAGGTGAAGAAGGAGCCACTTCCAGCTTCCTCCACAGGGGAAAAAGAGGAGCCAATTCCTCTACCACCTCCTTCTCCTATTCCAGGAGATGCTGGTGTACCTTACACACTCTCTTCTGTTCCCTCCTGAAGAGGACTGATTCTCCTTCTGGAGTGGAGGGAGGCGAACACCTCTAGTGGTGCCTTTTTATTTTCCACCTTCCACCCTAATAGTACAGACTGTGGGTGTAAGAGGGACTGAGAGCTACAGAATGAGATGTAATCTTTAATGGTCCCAGGTTACTGGATGCTTCTTGAATCAAAACATAGAGACTCAATGGTAAGGTAACTAGATCTAGTTGAATTATGTTTTGAATAATTCATCTGATAAATGTAGCCCTTTTTTTCTGCTCATGAATGATCTATAAACAGGTAATTTTTGTTAATAATTTTGTTGTACAATGCACAGATTTTAAGCAGAAAATGTAAATTAGTGATTGCTTGCAAACCTGTCAGCATGAATATTAGCTATTAAATTTGCTATTCATGTAGTATGGTCACCTAAGTCACATGATATTGTTTGTTCTCTGAGTGGATGAACTAAGCTTTTATAAACAAGGGGATTTCCTTTTTCTGGTCTTGAATTACTGCCATGGATAGTTATTACAAAGTCATTTCCTACACATAATTGTTAAACAGACCTCTTGTGTGAGTGGTGGTGGTCGGGGGAGAGTATTTCCAAATGGCTCTGAGAGCACATCAAGTGTGTATATTCATTCACACATTCATTCATAAATATTCATTCACACAAGTATTCACAAATCTTTAGCTTGCTGTGAAAATTCTTGGGAGGAAAACCTGACTTTTTCAAATGTTTGGAAATATATAGTAAAGGGGTTGCAAATGCCAGGGAAATGAATCAGAGTGTTTTATGTAGAAGAATATGCGATTTTTTTGCTATATTTGCTCAGAAGTAACTTTATGGGACATATGTGTATTACATGCATAACCACACTTCTGATTTGACTCCTAAATCTTGTCTTGATCCAAAATCTTGGTTAAAGATCAAGATCAGTTTGAGCATACATGATGTTTCCTAATAATATAAGTAAAATATACAGTAAAATAGGCGCAGGACTAGTATAAGAAGAGATTTGGGCTTTCTTTAATCATTTAACCAAACTTTACTAATTATTGTACCTTTTTTTTTATAGAAACAGAGCTCAAAACATTTACGAAGCATATTCACTTAAATGAGCTATAAAATATATAAAAGTGTAAATTAAACTTACAGGCTAAATTTACAGCATGCCATTAAAACACCTTGTGCTGATGGGATAACTCTTCTGACCTCTGGGCATTTCATTTTCAGTCCTCGAGCTCTCTTGACAGGCAGCTTCTGCTTCTGTGCTAACAAAGCTAAGTGATGTTTGGATTTGTTTTGTGCTGACAGCATCCACAGTCATATGTTAAGTCCAACCGATGACGATGTCCAGTGTCTGTGGCAGACTTGGATATGCCTTCACTGCAAGTGAAGGTGTGATTGTAGGCTTACTCACATTAGCTTTAATCTAGCTAGCACAGGTAATAATAGCAGTGACGATATGGCAGCAGGGGCTAGCAACCCAAGTACGCACCCAGGTCCCTGGCGGGCTTGTATTTGGGTGGCTAGCCCATGCTGAAGTGCATACCATCACATCTTCACTACTGTTATTCCCCATGCTAACTAGATTAAAGCTAGCACAGGTATGCCTACCCACACTATAAACACACCTTTGCTTTGCCATGAAGACATACCCTATGTGTACGCACTGGCATATGTGTGTGAGGCAGATACTGTGGGCCAAACACTGTAATATTTTCTAACTGATATTTACATCTGTTGAGTGATTAAAACCCACATTTGTGATCGCCCACATGAATGAGCACTCCTGTATGTATGCATCTGGTTTGCATGCACTCATTCCCATTTGTATGTGGGGTGTGTGGCACAATTCGGGGAGCCAATTCTTGAAAATTTAGACCTATGTGTTTTGCTGTTTGTTCGATCTGTACAAAGTAAACAAATGAGGAGAACTAGAATTTGGCATCAACTATGTCAGTGCAATGTTAATGCTGCTTTGTTAATCACACAAGTCAGGAAATTCAGAGTTTTGGAGAGAATTAGAGTTTCCACAGCAACTTTAACTTTGAATGTCCTGCCTCTTGTGCAATCAAAATCCCAGCCTTAGTGTTTCATTAACATCGTGTTTTCTTGAAGAAAAAGAGTCAGACCTGAATGTAGAAATGAAAATGACACCTGAAGGGTCTGAGTGGAAATAACATCTCGGTCTTCAATTTCTGTCTGGGTATTTTCAGGCACCTACACCACTGTGGTATGAGAGCACTAACACTTAGACTCATGGTGTCCATTATTCACCATCTTTGTCTAGTCTCAGCAACTCTCTTTAATGATTTACTTTGTTGATTTTAATGAGGCTACTTGTGGTATAAGAAACTACTCAATGTGAAGAAAGGGGGCAGAATCTGGCCCTTTACAAACTGCTGCACAAATGAGAAGTAGAAAAGCTAAGGGTTATTATATTGGAAAGAGAAGGAACAGTATTACCCTGAGTAAAAAGCATCCTTTTGAACTGTCCGAAAATCTTTGAAGACATGGCATTGTATGAGGGCTCTTGAGACAGGGCATTGACTCATATACTGAGTCACAGTGTCAGGAGGAAGCAGCTCCTACAACCGTATATCTCAGACATGGTTTGGTGAACAAGAAAGTGCTGCTGGACCTGAGCTTTGCAGGTACCAATGCATCCTGCATTGGCATGATCACAATCCAGCTGGTGCTATCTCTCCACCCTTGCAACTTTTACACTCATTATTCTCAGTTTTCACCTGTCTGTTTTAACTAATATTTACCTGTAAAAAAAAAATCTGTTCCTTTTCCCCCCTCTGTTTTTCAGACAGGAAATAACATGAGCCTGAACCTCATGGTTGCGCCAGATAACACCAGTGTGCACTCTTCAGGCATGTCAGGGGTCTTGCATGATAACCAGTCAGAGGACATTTATGAAAATTAATATTCTAACAATACAGAACCAAATGTTCCAATCCTAGGTCCACTCCTGGCTGTCTATGAAAGATGCTTAACAAAACTTTCCCTGTATTGACCCACTGCATTGGTTTAATTTGCCAAGAAGAGTGTGTTTGGAAAAGTAATAAATCCATGGCTCCATGGAGATGTCAGCCACTAGCTATATCTCATGTTTTCTCCAAAAGGCCAGAGTAACTCAGAAAACACATTATATAAAGTCATACAATTATTTAATAAACTATGGGCCAAATTGTGGGCTGGGTTATACCACATGAGTACAGTGGGGTTGCACATGTGTAATTAGCACAGAATTTAATCCTGTATTCTGAAACTAATCTATTTAAATCGCAGTTAAGGAGCCCATTTTCTAAAGTACAACTAAAGAGAAGACATAGAATTAACATATCAGTAAACACCCTGAACATTTTGAAAATATGGAAATCACAAACTAAGGTTACATAAGTAAGGATGACACCAACTTTAACACGGGATTCACACAGGGTAACCATTTAAACAGAAACATTCTCTGACCCACAGTCAAACAACCTTAACTTTGCCCCTCCATTTGTGTTATTATTTTAGGGCCCAATAACCCTTTGATAGAAGTCAATGGTAGTTTTTCTTTGACTTATAAGGTCCCACTTTAGCTCCTGTTAATGCCTTGTCAACATTGTAAATTTTAGATGATTGAGGATATGTGTATACTGTTTGTTCTGTAGTATCAAATGGGATGGTTCATGTCAACAGATAACTTCAATTATGCATTGTATCTACTTGAGTTTGTGCAGCACCAGACCCAAGGGTCCTGATCCTGACTGGGATCTTTATTTACAATAATGTAAATAAAAACCAGAATTGTTCATATTATTATGTAATGGCCCTAGATTTCTGACCTGTGTGCCCCCTGCTGGCACAAACTAAAAGGTACCTAGTTTGTATTAACATAGCCATGTTTGAAACAGGACTACGTCAACACGAAGCTGGTATTTTTAGTTCATGCCACCAGCAGGGTCCTCATGGGGCAGTTAGAGCACTCTAATGTGTTGTGCTTTACAATTCACACTCCTGTAGTGAGGAGTACTTCATAGACAAGACTAAGCTGTTTCCCTCTGACAGTATTGTTGGTCTATGGCAAATGAGTTGCTGGGCTCGGGGCAAATTCTAATAGACAGGTGTCCACATCATGCAAACTATAATCAGATAGCAGTAATCTGCAGTGGCACCTGTCTGATCAGCATTAGCAAAGGGGCCAAATATCGAATGAGTACAGATTCGCAAAAAGAAAAGGAGGACTTGTGGCACCTTAGAGACTAACAAATTTATTTGAGCATGAGCTTTCGTGAGCTACAGCTCACTTCATCAGATGCAAATAAATTGGTTAGTCTGTAAGGAGGCACAAGTCCTCCTTTTCTTTTTGTGGATACGGATGAACACGGCTGCTACTCTGAAACCAGAGACTATTCTGTCACCCTGGGAGGGTAGTTTTCACATGAAGTTTGAGGCAGATTGTTGTGGCAGCATGGGGGAAATTTGCACTGCCTTTGCCAGTGCACTAGCTAGTACTATGCTATGGATATAAACTGAGGAATTCAGTCTCCAGACCAGTTAATCCAGCACTCTTTCAACAGCACTAAATTATTTTATTTTAATTAAAAGAGGTGTTTTCTTGTTGAAGCTTCAATGCCAATTGAAGGAGTCTGGCATACAGAGTATTAGGATGACAGCAGCACTGTTTCAGATATTATATTCAAGGCAATTTTAGCTCCATGATAAAATAATGATTTTATTTATGTGCATAATATATATGCTCTATACCATCGTAGGGCAGTTATTGGAAGAAAGATAATGTAAAGAGATGGAAACAATAAAGTATTGATAATTAATAATCAATAATAATTTATCAATCAATAACCAATTGATAACTCATAACTGATAAAAATTAACTGGGATTATATGTTTTGTGAGAGGGTTTCTATCAAATCTGGATTAGTTTAATAATAACAGATCTTCGATAAATCAATGTGATTGGATGTATTGATTAACAGTTAGTAAAGACATCACATACACAGAGGGACATACAGTTACCAACAGCTGCGGAAGACCTTTCCCTGTACTTCACTGACATCCTGCATCCAGATTGCAGATGGTCTTACCTCCTCATTATCTTGTATGGTAATTATACCCTTGTCATTGTTATCGTGTTTCTTTCTGATCCTTTTCTATTTCCTATTTTTGGTACACATTCTTCTTCTCTTAGGCTGTTTCCAAGGTTCCCTGTTCCATTGCAACTTTCCAACTGTCTCAACACCTGAAGGTTAGTCACTATTTATGCCCTTTTCTAGACATATTTATTTGTTTCATACCTTAGCAATGTATTAACCACAAGATATCTCCTACACCAGTTTTCAAAATATGCTAAGGGTTACAGTTCAGTAAAATTCCACTCTCTAAAGTTAGCTTCATCTTAACTGTGAAGTGTCATGAGTATCTTTTTCCCAGGAAAGCATTAAAATCTTTTTTGGTCTATCTGAAGTGTCAGCAAAAGAGACCCTTAAAATACAAAAATGATTCTTGATAAGAGTAGCAGAAATGGTTATGATACTGTGATAATATCTTTGTAGGAATAAAAATTATCTTAGATCAGCTCATTTATACATTCATTTTTACTGCTGACTGAATGTAATTCTATAGTTTTTTGGCACTGGCAGATGTATCAGGAAGTATTTCTAATGATATCCCACCATCAACCTCAGCCTGGACCAGTCCACACAAGAGATCCACTTCCTGGACTCTACAGTGCTAATAAGCGATGGTCACATAAACACCACCACCAGAAACCTACTGACTGCTATTCCTACCTACATGCCTCCAGCTTTCACCCAGACCACACCACATGATCCGTTGTCTAAAGCCACGCTCTATGATACAACCACATTTGCTCCAACCCCTCAGACAGAGACAAACACCTACAAGATCTCTATCAAGCATTCTTCCAACTACAATACCCACCTGCTGAAGTGAAGAAACAGATTGACAGAGCCAGAAGAGTACCCAGAAGTCACCTACTGCAGGACAGGCCCAACAAAGAAAATAACAGAACGCCACTAGCCATCACCTTCAGCCCCCAACTAAAACCTCTCCAACGCATTATCAAGGATCTACAACCTATCCTGAAGGACGACCCATCACTCTCACAAGTCTTGGGAGACAGGCCAGTCCTTGCCTACAGACAGCCCCCCAACCTGAAGCAAATACTCACCAGCAACCACACACCACACAACAGAACCACTAACCCAGGAACCTATCCTTGCAACAAAGCCCGTTGTCAACTGTGTCCACATATCTATTCAGGGGACACCATCATAGGGCCTAATCACATCAGCCACACTATCAGAGGCTCGTTCACCTGCACATCTACCAATGTGATATATGCCATAATCTGCCATGTACATTGGTCAAACTGGACAGTCTCTACGTAAAAGAATAAATGGACACAAATCAGATGTCAAGAATTATAACATTCATAAATCAGTCAGAGAACACTTCAATCTCTCTGGTCACTCGATTTCTGATCTAAAAGTGACTATTCTTCAACAAAAAAACTTCAAAAACAGTCTCCAACAAGAGACTGCTGAATTGGAATTAATTTGCAAATTCGATACAATTAACTTAGGCTTGAATAGAGACTGGGAGTGGTTGAGTCATTATACAAAGTAAAACTATTTCCCCTTGTTTATTCCTCCCATGCGCCACCCCCCCGCACATACTGTTCCTCAGACGTTCTTGTTAACTCCTGGAAATGTGCTGGAAATGGCCCACCTTGATTATCACTTCAAAAAGTTTTCTCTCCCCCCACCCCACTCTCCTGCTGGTAATAGCTCATCTTAAGTGATCACTTTCCTTACAATATGTATGATAAACACCCATTTTTTCATGGTCTGTGTGTATATATATCTCCTCACTGTATTTTCCACTTTATGCATCCGATGAAGTGAGCTGTAGTTCACAAAAGCTTATGCTCAAATAAATTGGTTAGTCTCTAAGGTGCCACAAGTACTCCTTTTCTTTTTGCGAATACAGACTAACACGGCTGCTACTCCGAAACCTAATGATCTTAGGGAATTTATTAGAAGTATTTGTAGACTGATCTTCTGCTTGGTAACTTAATGGATATTGCTTCTTTTTTATGCATACCTGTGTCTTGTGAGAGCTAAAATCAGGATTATGGATATAACTTTTATTAATTTGTTCACTTTAGGCCTTTTCCAATGACTATTGAAATAAATTGTGAGACTCCTATTTATTTGAGGGGGTTTTGGACTGGACCCATAAATTGGAACAATTCATACATCACAATGTAAAAGATGTGTTCAGAACTTCACTAATAATAGAATTGTACGCCAGCTGACCAAGAAGAAACCATTTAACTGAATGTTATGCTTCAAGATTCATTTTTAGTTTAGTTTGGGGCCATGTTTCAGGTTAGCTGTTTTCTCCAAATCCGTTCATACATTGCAGAGTACAACAGAGGGGATGTTAATTATAATGTGCAGCATTCTGTCATTTGAGATACAGGACACGATTATCATTGTACTGAATGTCTGAGGGGAATTTTGTTATCTCCTGTTCAGAGTGGGAGAGAAGAAAGAACTCTAGGCCTGTCAAGGTTCCTTCTCCACTCTGAACTCTAGGGTACAGATGTGGGGACCTGCATGAAAGACCCCCTAAGCTTATTCTTACCAGCTTAGGCTAAAAACTTCCCCAAGGTACAAACTTTGCCTTGTCCTTGAACAGTATGCTGCCACCACCAAGCGTTTTAAACAAAGAACAGGGAAAGAGACCACTTGGAGACGTCTTTCCCCAAAATATCCCCCCAAGCCTTACACCCCCTTTCCTGGGGAAGGCTTGATTATAATATCATCACCAATTGGTACAGGTGAACCCAGACCCAAACTCTTGGGTCTTAAGAACAATGAAAAATCAATCAGGTTCTTAAAAGAAGAATTTTATTTAAAGAAAAGGTAAAAGAATCACCTCTGTAAAATCAGGATTGTAAATACTTTACTGGGTAATCAGATTAAAAACACAGAGAATCCCTCTAGGCAAAACCTTAAGTTACAAAAAGACACAAAAACAGGAATACACATTCCCTCCAGCGCAGCTTATTTTACAAGCCATTAAACAAAGAAAACTTAACACATTTTCTAGCTAGATTACTTACTAACTTTACAGGAGTTGGAAGGCTTGCATTCCTGATCTGTTCCCTGCAAAAGCATCGCACAGAGAGACCAAACGTTTTGTTCCCCCCCCCCACCTCCAGATTTGAAAGAATCTTGTCCCCTCATTGGCCATTTTGGGTCAGGTGCCAGCGGGGTTACCGTAGCTTCTTAACAGGTGAAAGGGTTTTGCCTCTGGCCAGGAGGAATTTTATAGCACTGTATATGGAAAGGTGGTTACCCTTTCCTTTATATTTATGACAAGGCCTATATCACCTGTCTGGATTTATAGACACTTGAAAGGTACTCCGATCCTAGGGTTACGAGTGTGGTAGTAATACTTAGAATGTCCTCTACCAGCGTGTTTCTCCTGGGATGCATTAAGCAGCACACAATTGCATACCCAGCCCTCTCTGTAGTTAATATTCTCAGGAACAGTAACATTTATTGTATGACTCTAACTTCTCAGTGAATAACTTCTTCCTCAGTGAAAGCTTTCCCTCTGGAACCCACCACATCACGATAATCTCTCTTGGACTGAAGAGGGCTGGATGATGCTCCCTTCAGAGCCCATGACTGTTATGTCTAGCTTGGGATTCGCTCTCCCAGGGATAATGGTGCTGCCTCTAAAGCTTCCCTGGACTCTATTAGTTTAGGGTTTGTCTACACTTGCAGCGCTGCAGCTGTCCTGATGCAGCTCCGCCATAATAGCCCTTAGTGAAGACGCTAGCTATACCGACTGGAGAGCTTCTCCTATTGGCACAGGTATGCCACCTCCCCGAGAGGCGGTAGCTATCTCGAGGGTTGGCATAGCGCTGTACACTGGAGGTTAAGTCGGTATAACTGCAATTTTCAACACACCTGAGTGATGTCGTTATCCCAGCGTAAGTTGGTAGTGCGTAGACCAAGCCAAGGTGAGTAGGGGACCGGTAGTCAAAATTAAACCCAGTATCTTGCATTTCAGCCCAGACCACTAACCACAGGTGCAGCAGACCAGGCCGGCCCAGTGGAAATATTCTTGCACAGCAAGGAGGTAAGAGGAATGAGAAAAAGCATCCACTCAGTAAGTGTATTAAATGGTGACTGCAGCTTGGCACATGGAAAGGCCCAGGATCTGCAGAGGTTAAGCCTGGGGCTTGGTGGATTTGTTCCAAATCTTAGTATTGGCCATCAGCTATGGCCCTGTACCATACACACATAGAAATTGGTCCGGGATCTGCTTTAGGGAAAAGTTTCTGTAGTGAGCTAGAACGGGGCATGCAGAACTCCCTAGTCCAATGTTTCCCCAAGTGTGGTGAAGGTCAGGTTGGTGTTGAGGGGTCACAAAGGCCTAGCCTGTGAGGATGCAGACAGGCATCTGAATTGCTCTCCAGAGTCTCCACATCCATTTAAAATGAAAACTAACTGCTAGAGATTTATGGATGAAAATCTTTGAAAACATGACCAGATTGTACCTGATGCAACAATGTCTGCCTGAATCTGCAGGGAGTCTGAAACAATAGTGCTGAAGTGTGACTGGCCCCATTCACTTAATAGAAATATAGAAATGTAGGGCTGGAAGGGACCTCAAGAAGTCATCAAGTTCAGCCCCTTGCACTATGGCAGAACCAAGTAAACCTAGACCATCCCTGACAGGTGTTTGTTCATCCTGGTTTTGAAAACCTCCAATAACGGGGACTCCACAACCTCCCCTGGAAGTCTATTCCAGAGCTTAACAAGCCTTATACTTACAAATTTTTTCCTTTAATATCTAACCTAAATCTCTCTTGCTGCAGATTAAACCCACTTCTCCATGTCCACTAAAGGTAGAACAAGAAGAACAACTGATCACAGTCCTCTTTATAACAACTCTTAACATATTTGAAGACTGTTATCAAGTCACCGCTCAGTCTTCATTTCTCAAGCCTAAACATGCCCAGGGTTTTTTAACCTTTCTGCTTGGGCCAGGTTTTTTATCCTTTTTGTTGCTCTCCTCTGGACTCTCTCCAGTTTTTCCACTTCTTTCCTAAAGTGTCATGCCCAGAATTAGACAATGTTCTCCAGCTGAGGCCTCACCAGTGCTTAGTAAAGCAGGACAATTACTCCAGGGTCTTACATATGACACTCCTGTTAATACACCCCCAGAATATTAACCTTTTTCGCAGCTGCAGCACATTGACTCATATTCAATTAATGATCCACTATAACCCCCAGATCCTTTTCAGCAATACTATCACCTAGCCTGCTATTCCCTATTTTGTAGTTGTGCGTTTGATTTTTCCTACCTCAGTGAAGTACTTTGCACGTGTCTTTATTGAATTGTATCCTGTTGAATTCAGACCAATTTTCCAAGGTAGTTTTGAATTCTAATCCTGTCCTCCAAAGTGTTTGCAACCCCTCCCTGCTTGGTGTCATCTGCAAATTTTATAAGCATACTATCCATTCTATTATCCAAGTCATTAAGGAAAATATGGAATAGTATCGGACCCAGGACCAACCCCCTGTGCGACCCCACTAGATAGACCCTCCCAGTTTGACAGCAAACCATTGATAACTTCACTTTGAGTACAATCTTTCAACTAGTCGTGCACCAACCTTGTAGTAATTTCATCTAGACTGCATTTCCCTAGTTTGCTTATGAGGGCTGTGTCAAAAGCCTTACTGAAATCAAGGTATATCACATCTCCTGCTTTCCCACTATCCTCTAGAACAGTAGCCCTGTCAAGGAAGGAAATTAGGGTGGTTTGGCATGATTTGTTCTTGGCAAATCCACGCTGGCTATTTCTTATAACCCTATTATCCTCCACATGCTTATAAATTGATTGTGTAATTGTTTCAGTATTTTTCTAGGTTTCAAAGTTAGGCTGATTGGTCTATAATTCCCAACTATGTTTGCCCTTCTCTAGTCTTCTGGGACCTGACCTGTCCTCCAGGATTTCTCAAAGATAATTGGTGATGGTTCCAGGACTGCGTCAGCTAGTTCCTTAAGTAACCTAGAATGAATTTCATCAGGCCCTGCAGGCTTGAATACATTTACCTTATCTAAATATTTTTAAACCAGTTCTTTCCCTATTTTGGCTTTCATTCCTTCCCCCTTGTTAATATTAATTGTGTTTGAGTATCTAGTCACCATTGACCTTTTTAGTGAAGACTGAAACTTTCTTGATGTAATCAGTTATTAACTCTTCTTCCCTGTTAAGTAGAGGACCTACACTTGAGTCTTTCTCTTGCTCCTGATGTATTTAAAGAGCCTCTTCTTATTGCCTTTTATGTCCCTTGCTAAGTGTAACTCATTTGGGCCTTAGCCTTTCTGATTTTTTCCCCCTTCAGTGGGTGCTAACTCAGATGCCAGTGATGATACTTTAAATGGTGACACTCTTAACTATTTTCCTGCTCATCAAAAGCTTGTCAGAAAGGAAAGGTATTTACTTTGAGTAACATCCCATTTTGGTGCCATGGTGGGAGGGTTTGGGAGATACCACAATTCATCTCCTCCAGTCAAGAGGAAGCCAGCACACTGGAGCCCAACCCAGGGAAAACCAAACCCAATGATCCCAGTGGAACCTTTGGGAGTGAGATGCTTTGTTAGAGAAAAAAATTAATGTTGCCACTTGGCAATGACAACTATAGAGAAAGCCACTGTTAGGTAAGACTGTTACAAACTTGCAAGACAATGACTGATTTCAGTTTTAAATAATAAAATCACTCCTATTACAACATTTCTTAACATCCAACACTGAATATTCTATGTCATTCCTTAAAATAAACATTTAAGGACATGCTTTT